GGAGGCGAAGCATGTTGGACGAAGTAACGGCACCAGGTTGTCCAGGCGACTGGTGCAAGATGGTCGAAGAGAGCGATTGGTGGTCGACCGCTCGCTGGTAGAGTAGAGTGAAGACTACGCTTGCGTACCGTAACCCAACACGCGAAAAATTCGCCGTTAGGTTCGATGTTATTGGTGCAGGCGCACAACAAGCACCCTACCGCACGCGCAAATTTGTCTCGCACATTTCGTGTCATCAATTTTCCTCGCCTCCCAGTTCTCGTTTTCTCTGCGTCCTCTCAACGAAGAGAAATGTGTCGAGCGAACCCGCGAACGATACCGTGCGCCATTCATACGGGAGGTGGAGGACGCAGACGCTCTATCGATTTTGGGTTGCTGCCCTGTGAAGTCGGGGTAATCTTGCCAACTGCAGTCGCTGCCTCAATGCTAGCGTTGCGCGCTGGAGGCTTGCAACTGCGCTCCGGCGCCACCGCGGGTTACGGTGTTCGAGCGTTTGAACAAGCTGAATATATGTATTTCACTACGTATAATCCGTCTTTCGCTGCGAGCGGTTGCACCATTTTATACCATTGTGCGCCTTCAAGTCAGAAAACAGAGGGATGTGTGGGAGAGCGTATTGAGACGCGAGCGACTTATTATCACAAAGCGATAATTTTGGTACATCGACCACAAGAGAAATAACGAACAGTAGAGAACTAAACCATAGTGAGAGTAGACGAGAGCTCAGTGATATCCCTGTCCATCTGTCGTTTGAGTTTGAGAAACTCAACAGACATTACAAATTCCTACATGCGCGTCACCTGCACTGCGAGATACAGCAGGGTGCTTAGCGACTTGGTTTCTTGCCGTTATCAAGATCTCACGACTTAGTAATACGGTTCATCCCATCCAGCGGGCCAGCATTAAACAAACACACAACACCATTGATGCTCAACTCAACTCGTAAAGTGTTACAAATTCTCAGATACGTGCGGCTAGACTTGCCGCCGAGACGGCTCGACCAACATCATCAGATAGTCTGGAATCAAGCCAAAGTCGAAGCGGCGAAAGAAAATCAGGGAAAAAAGGCCAATGGCGATTAATTTCTCGAAGCAAGATCGATCAGAGATCAAAATCGGTAATGCGTGCGGTAACTTAGCACCCTGCGCATGCTGCCGACATTAGTGGTGAAGAGCAAATTAATGTTCGCTACCAGGTGTCGAAAGCGCCTGGTCAGCAAAGCAAACAAACCGCTGACACATAGCGCCTGCGGCCTAGTTTGGTTCTGTTGCCCAAGTAATTGTTGAATTACTCACCAACGGCTGCCGGCAGTATGTGTCAGGGTTAGCTTTTCATTCTTTACTTTTCACATGTGTTTTGTTGTATATCAAAGCCAAAAGTACTACCTGTATCCAAAAATTACAATATTACGGATCATCGCAATATCTTAACCCTTGAAGCAGCAACTCTAGAGAAAATCGAGATTTTGATTAATTTTTGAAAGTTGCGGCAGTCTTGGACAAAGGAGCACCTTCTTAAACGTTAGGGGAAGGTTTGGAGACGAGACAGGCTCCCAAAGCGGCGCTTGGACGAGGAAACGATGTAGTTTTCCGTGCTGACATCATATCGTATCCTTAAAGGCTTCTCGGCCATCCTAGCAAATAGGGGCCCGTACCCCAACCTGAGCGTTAGTTGAAATAGCTCAGAATTAACGGGGAATTCATTTTCTGAGCTGTCAATAAGTTCTACGCCGAAGGGCGGTACACATCGCGACCGGAGGCGTGATTGCCGTATCCGTGATTAGGGTTGTGAATTACATTTATAATAGAGGCTTCGGAGGAGGTAAAACCTCGATATAACTCACAGAAATTGGAGAGGCGGCAGCTATCAGTTAGTACTCCGTAATTCGCACTGAGGGTAACCTAAAGACACTCTTCTTCTCATCCTCTCACATAATGAGGAAATCATTCCAGAGTGGCAATTACAGACCATCTGTTGATCACGTACAATAACACAGTAATCAACAGATCCCTTAGCGGGTTCAGGAGCCCGCCCCTGGATTCCTTTGTTCCTCTCACTGTTGAGGCTTCTTGTGGGGAGCCTCGAAATTTCCAAGGATTACGTGAAAATGTGTACGTCAAAAGTTTCTCACTGAAGGGAATGCACAGATATGGCGCTTGCGTATATCATCAGGCGGAGTTCTGCTGCCTTGAGCGCAGAGCTCGTCTTCAAGGCATGGTAGGCATGCGAGGTGGGTCACAAACTAAACCAGCCACCGCATAATCTTTCTTCAACTTGGATTTTTGCAAACAAATGGTATGACGGCTTTCTCGTTCTCTGGCTACGAATATGGCGTTCGTCTTTGACGAACAAGAAGGCGCCAGTTTGCACTTTCCTGCTCAACAATCTTGTCACCAGGAAGAATTGAGCCAATGATAGGTCCATCAGTACCTCTTCACCACTCTTAATACTGTTGAGCTGAGGTAAAACTTGGTTTCGCGCTTCATGTAAACGTCCCTAGAATTTGCAAAAAACCTTTTATAAGACTTAGCTTCTCGTGAACTTCGTATAGTAGATTGGTATGATCTTCAGTACTACTGTCGAAGTGCATAGTGAGCGCATCTTTGGAACTACTTTGTGGCGCTTTGGCACACAACTCCGCTATTACAGCCTATTAACCCTTTGACGACAATGCGGATTTGCACGTAGCTTGCTCATGGGACCACGCCTCTTTTTGGCGCGCCCAACTCTCACAATTGGGCAAAATTGTCCCTCAAAGCAGTTTTTGTAGAATTTTCGACTTTAACAGTATACCAATATAACTGCAGTTCTAGGCTTTCATACTGTTTATTGTTTTCAAGAGAATTCCAAATTTGGAAGGGAAACGGTTTTAAAGGGAAGGAGGGCAAAACCTCTAAAAGTTAAGTGTCCAAGAGAATTTTCGATACACTTCAAACCCTTCCTGTATCTGAGGGCTATGAGAAGACGAAGAAGTCCTGATTAGTAATTAATCTTCAGCCTAATAATGCAAAACCCCAATTAATATGCTGGCGAGCTAAATGGCACATTCTAAAATTCTATATAAATTAGCTCTTAATAAGCATTTCTGTAAGCCCTGCTAGTCATAGCTATTATGGAACTTGCGAAACTGAAACTTTGAAACTATAATTATCGAGTGTTACGAATGTTTTAAATGTACAAAGAAGGAATTTTAAGGTGGCACCCACCTTAGAAGTCAAAAGACGAAAACTGAATGCTTAGTTACAGATTGCGGCTGCTGCGAATGCTGCTGCCGGTTCTATACCTACAACGCCAGCACGTGACGGAATGACCAGGCAATCAGTTCCAATCAGTCGAGGAAGAAGAACTCGTACTAGATACTAGACACATGTGCGGCAATTATCATATTAAGACCTGCGCAAAGTATTATAATTTATAAAAGTTGCGTTGTGTTTACGAATAAATTTGCCAACGCTATGTATTTCTTGAACTGCAGGGTGACTGAAAAGTATAGTAGACGCTTTTACTGCTTGCTGGCACTGAGTAGTGGAATATTTCAGAAATGTTTTGAAGTTTTTCCAAAAAATTGGAGCTATTTAAGAAGCTTCATATCTTGAGCGGTACAAAATTCATCTGAGCTTTCGCTGTGAAGATTTCTCGAACTTTTTTACCGTTCGGAGCATCTTTGCTGTTTAAGTACACTCTGCGATTGCGAAGAGTAGAAGGTCGGAACCTGTGCTTGTTTATCAGGTTGGAAAGATTGAAATGTCTGAATTGAAATCTTTT